AAATAACATAAATGTCTTTTCACTGGGTGGATTTCTCAGCCAAACATGTTCATGTGTATTCACTTTAGCTGCACAAATCCAGCCCAGAGCTGCGGGTCCAGCTGCACCTTAAAATGAAATGTTGATTGTGCACTGTATAATTGTGCCAGTATAATGTGATGCTCTGGAGCAGCTGCACGTAAGCCTATGGTCACCATGCCCAAAGACAAGTGACAGCTAGATGTTATAAAGGCCTTCAGCTGCACTGTAGAGCAGAGAAACTGTGTTCTCTGGAGTGATTGAGCTCTATCCAATACCTTTGGGATGATCTGGAGTGCAGTTTGCGATCCAGAAGTAATCATTCAACATCAGTACCTGACCTCACTAATGCTCTTGTGGTTGAACGCAAATAAATCCTCATTGCAATGTTCCAAGACATAAAGCCTTCCTTGAAGAGTAGAGGCTTTTACTGAAGCAAAACTCTATATTAATACACTTGATTTCAGAATAAACACTGCATGAGCAGGTGGTTATCTGCTTTTTCAGCTGAGAGTTGGCTTGTCAAGACATCATGATTACTCGTTCATAACATCAGTCTTGTCCAGTGAATGTACATTTTCATATCGTCCAATCAGGGAGTAAGAGTAACGACTCTCCTCTGGCGTGAATCTGTGTAATTAAGCTTCCATTACTCATTAGCTACTTTAGCCTTGTAGCTCCTTTGCTAAACCAAAGAAGCTTCAACCAACATCAGCCACCTAACAAAGCTTGGCTGCATACATTTAGGGAAAATGTGGGCATTTTATTTTTTGCTTTAAAGGCAAAAAATGCACTCCAGTTAGCCCTGGGCTAGGTTTGAGTTCCCTCACGCACAGCATGACGAACAAGACATTTTACTCGGTGCAGTGTTGTGGTGTTGGTTTTGATGTTGGCAAGTCTGTAATGTTGCATTACCAGTTTGTAATAGGCGTTCAACCTACATTGGCTGTCGCGAGAAATGCCCTAACTTCCAAAACAACTTTTCAGGACAGGATAAAGACGTCTTGATCTAATTATCACACTTTTATAAGATTATAGAGCGTGTCTTATCAGCAGGCAGGGTTATAAAGTACCCCAAGGTATGAAGCAGACAGGCAGGTTTCAGCTAATGTAAAGGGAAAAGAAGGAGCAGCCATCAAATCCATCAAAAGTGGAGACAGAAGACTTTCTCATGACAGCTGTGATTTGTGATTTGTGACCCAGTCCATTTTGTGAACACTAAGTGTATTATGAGCCCAATGGCATGCTGTGTAGTGTGTAGTTATGTTCTCTAATGGACTTGTCTGAGCATGGATAAACTCGCACACCTACTTTACTGATTTCAGCTAATGCTTCAACTTCAAGCTCAAATAAAAGACTTGTATTAAAAGGAATGGTCGTATGTAGTGTGTACATGTGGGATAGATCCCCCAGGATGATGAAAGCATGAATATGTTTTGGCTGTGGGCACATATCTCTGCTCTTCATGAGAAAAACAAATGCTTTTTCCCCCAAACTGCAGCTTTTTGACCTTTTGACCTATCTCAACACTTGGTTTTACAATTAGGTAACAGCTACTGGGGGAGCCTCTTTTATGGTTGTATCTAATATCTGAATGTACACTCCTGTGAAAAAATGTAATTGTTAGTCCCGGTTATTATGACGGTTTCAGCTACCTCTCAGCAGGTGGAAAACAAACTAGAACCAGAACTGTAAGTTCCACTGGTTTCTGGTTGGGTCAGTTCTTACTATAGAATGTGTAGTGGAAAAACACTTTACATATCTCTGGACACAATCGTCAAACAGACCATCAATCCTATGTTTGTCACTTATCTGGTTATCTTATATAAATATTCTACAATTTTATAATGTTTATCCATTATATCCATTATTATGATTTTTCCAGCACATTTATGTTAATGTCTTTTAATGTCTAGTAACTTTCATGACCTTAATGGAGAGAAAAAATGCAGCTTGGAAGCTGCTATTTTTTGGGAATGCCTACTTTCGGGAGATTAAAAACTAGGTAGAGCTTGTATGCAGGACAATAACCTGGGTGGTCCTGATTGGGCTGATACAGGCTCACTGTTTGGGTTCTCCTACAGTGGTGAAAGAAACAGTTGCAAAAATCCAAATTCAGTCAATCAGTCCTGTAGCTGGATGATTTTGCAATGGAACTACAGCCAACAGGCCGATGTAGCTAACAATTGATGGATGGTGTTTACACTCCAGTTGAACTCTTATCTTATCTGTTTAGCCATCATGACAACTTCAGTTAAGACTGCATTTAGGACAGAAGCTACTACAGAACAACAGTTCTTAAGTTCATTATCTTATCCCAGCTCCAGATAAGAAAACAGTATTACAGAAACATCATGACTAGACTAAATTTTGTAAATACTGTCCTAACTTTAAGGCAACCCCAGAGCTGTCTTAACTTCTGTTTTAACCGTCTGTTTCTATTGTTTAATGCATTGTGAGGCAGCATTGTTCACTGTAACTAGGATAATGACATTATATTGATCCACAGTGAAAATGGTGCTTTGACTTTTTTCTAACAGCATTTTAAAAATCCTAGACACTGCAGACTCGATCTCCACCGTCCCCTCTTAATGTCTTCATGTGTTAATGTTGATGAAAACTTGGCAAATAAACTATTACAGTGATGGTGGTAAATAATGAGGAGACAGACTTAAATGTGCGCCTTGCATTTGGGAAACTCAAACTGAAATGTGGAGCGATGACGCTCTGATAAACAGCACAAAGTGCAGTCACTATATTCTTAACTTCAAGTTTAACGTGATTGAGTCTTGTTTGACCTTTTTTTTACATCAGTAACGGTAGCTAACATTAGCTGTCTGGCTAAATAACTTTATTATTTTGATGATGCGTTTATGTTACAGCTGTGGACAGTTGCTAGGTAACAGGGTTTACAGTTGATTGTTAACTTCGATCAAGCAAGTTAAGATTTCCTAACTTGAGATAATATGCTGCGAGATTCCTTAAATTAGGATAAGATTTGCTTCTGTTATATGAATTTGTGAAAAATTGTATTTTGACATGTCGGATCTTAAGTTAAGACAAAAAGATAGGAAGCTTCTGTAAAACGGCCCCTGATGTCAAAAAAGACTATAAGCATCCAACTTGATTAGCATGTGTGCTCGACCTAAGAGGCTCCTCCAGGCTACCATCTGCCCTCCATCAACCTCCCAATCAACTCCAGGGGCAAAAGAACCACAGCCTCTGTGTAGGCGTTTTCACAAATTTGGTTGAGGTTTTAAAACCAGGAGACACAGACATGTTTTTCCCCAGGGCACCTTCCCTGCTCAGCCAGAATCTGTAACTGATTCAACTTCCTGATTTGGATTCTATTTCTGATTTTACTTGTGATTATAGTTTGATTTTTATAAGGATTTTTTTTTTACATTTTTAGGATTTTTATTTGAATTTTTATAACTCTGATTTTGATATGAGGTTTGATTTACATATACATTTACAGCATTTAACAGACACTCTTATCCAGAGTGACTTAGAAAAAAGTGCTTTGTCTATCTAGAGAAAGTATCTTTGCTAGTTACCAATAGGTTAGAGAGAAAGCCAGTCCTGAGCTCAGATACTGCTAGAAACAAAAATCCATGTTGATACCCAGAGAAAAAGAGTTAAACACAGTGCAGTACAATACAATGCATTTCAATAAGTGCAGTGCAATACATTACAATTAATTATTTAACTCAGTGCTCATTTAAGTGCTGCATAAAAAGATAAGTCTTCAGTCTGCGTTTGATGACTGCGAGAGACTCTGCTGTTCGGACAGCCAGTGGGAGTTCATTCCACCACCTGGGTGCCAGTACAGAGAAGAGTCTTGATGCTTGTCTTCCACATGTCTTGAAGGATGGAGGGTCAAGCCGAACTGTACTCGAAGCTCGAAGGGCTCAATTCAAAATCAGATTTAGATTTGAGGTCTGCATTAGATTTGAATTCTAATTTAGATTTGAGGTCTGCTTTAGATTTCTAATTTGGATTTTAGTTCTCATGTGGATTCTAATTCTGATTTCAATTTTAGTTATTTTTGGCTCTAATTCAGATTTCAAGTCTGATTTGCATTCTAATTCTGATTTAAATTCTTGTTCTGATTCAGAGTGTAATTCTGATCAGGACTGTATTTCTGGTTTGGATTTTTATTTCTGTTTTCTATTTCAATTCAGATTTGGATTCTGTTCTTGATTCTGATTGATGCTAATTCTGTTTTGGATTGTAGTTTTGATTTGAATTGTAGTTCTGATTTTGATCTGATTTGGATTTTATTCTGACTTGGATTTTACTTCTGATTCGGATTCCGGTTCTTCTTTTGCTTCTTCTTCTGATTTGAATTGAAATTCTCATTTGGATTTTCATACTAACTGAATAAAGAACATGTATATGTGCCAGATACATAAAAATTCCCCTTCTGTGGACCACCTCCATGTTAAAATAAATAGCTTAGAGGGAGTTGAATGTTTGTGTGATTTGTCTCTGTGTTGGTGTTTTTTAATCACCATTGTACAGAAAACTCCAGAGTGAGGTTGCTCTGATTGTGGCTGCCTGATTTAACAGTGTCGGGGCCTTGAAGCTATTGTGTAAATTTCCCTTGACTGTTTACCTTTAGTTAAGATACAGATGTGTCTTAGGGGGTAAATAACTTCTGAATCCTTTCATTAGCTTTCCTGCTGGGACATCTTGACGTGATTCCCCTATTCTTGATCATTTCTTGATGCCTGCAAACACAGGCCACACAATGCTTTACATGCTCACAGTTTAGAGCAGTAGGGGAGGATTATAGCACAACTGTGTTATGCAACGTATGCTGAGTAAGAATGAATTTGCAGTTGCCTGATAAAAAAGGCCAGAGTTTAAAGGGGGGTGTGGAAGAGGGGGGGGCTGTGTGTGAGCGAAATATGATAGCAAGGGGAGAGAGAGAGAGAGAGAGAGAGAGAGAGAGAGAGAGAGAGAGAGAGAGAGAGAGAAGGCAGGCTGAATGGTATAGAATATAGAGAAGGAGGTGGGCAAATGATATAGGGGAGGAAATGAATGAGTGAGTGAGTGAGCGAGAGAGAGAGAGAGAGAAGATAAAAGATGGAAGTGGGAGGGCATTATTCATTCAGCACATGCTGATTTCTTTGACTTGGACACTCACCAAAAAGTGAACGAGAGAGATAGAGAGAGAGAGAGAGAGAGAGAGAGAGAGAGAGAGAGAGAGAGAGAGGAAGAGAGAGAGTTTTGAAGGGTTCAACTAAGTTTTAAGACTGTGTGTGTGTGTGTGTGTGTGTGTGTGTGTGTACACCAGCCAGGCTGTGAGATGGAGAGAAATGGAGAGGTGCAAGAACAGATGGAAAGACCAGAGACGCTCACAGATGGTGAAAGAGCTACCATTCAAAACACCTGGGCAAAGGTGTATGAGAACAAAGAAGCTGCAGGAGTCGCAGTGCTTATGAGGTATTACTTTATCTTTCTCAGTCTCTCTCACTCTCTCATTCTTCCTCTCTTAGGTTCAGATTAACTGGATTTATTTTTAGAACAGTGTTTCCCTGTCTCGCCTCTGCACCTTTGTGGTGCACATCTTGGTTGTGTGCACATTTGCGTTTCGGATTTGGATTCTATCTCTGATTTAGATTCTAATTCTTTTTTTGGGTTTCTAATTCTGATGTAGATTCTAATTGTGATTTGGGTTTTAATTCAGATTTAGATTCTAATTCTTATTTGAATTCTAATTCTGATTTAGATTGTAGTTCTGACTCATATTATAATTCTCATTAGGATGCTAATTTTAGTTTGGATTCCAATTCAAATTTAGATTCAGATTCTAATTTGGATTCTAATTCTAATTCTCATTAGAATTACAATTCTGATTTAGATTCCAATTGTAACCCTTTATTCTAATTCTGACTTAGATTCAAATTCTGTTTTGGATCCCAATTTCAATTTAGATTTCAATTCAAATTTGAAATCCAATTCTGGTGTAGATTCTAATTGCAATCTACATTCTAATTCTAATTCATTATCGCAGCTGTCCAACAGGGGCAGTTGTAGGGGAGAGTGTGGTACAACTTAACACATACTGGATTTTTCTAAATGATTTTAAATATTTTAAATATTTGAGCTTTTTATAAACAGGCAACTATACATCTCTGCTACAAGTGGACAAGAGACTTGAGTACAAATGTTACAACTTACCTCATAGGTGGAGTTAACTGTAACAGCCTGAGGGGCCAGTTGTACCATTTGCTAGAGACATATTCTAAAAGGTTACAAACACAGTTGACCTAAATTCTTCCTGATTGATGTGAGACCACAAAATACAAAACTAATTTGTGAAGCTGAAAATCTGGGAGGGTCTGTAGGAGGGTGTGATGTACATACAATCAGTACACACAATGTGGTTTTCTTATATAAACATTAAGATACTAAAATAAGTAAAATCCTGGAAGAGACATCTTCTTAGAAAGTAAGTGTTGATGTAAACATGACATATAATTCTGAAATTAAGTATAAAATCAAAGTGAAATTCAATTTCAATATTATCTGAATGTGTATTCAATTTCAATATTATCTGAATGTACTTTCAACTTATTTAATTTTTATATGGATATATGGTCCACTCTTTGCCCACATTACAGCTTTCATTCTTTTCAGGAGTCTTGTTTTCAGTTTTTCAAAGAAAAAAAAAAGAATCCTGCAGTGATATTTTTCACTCCTTCAAAGTTCAGTCTTAGAAGTTGGTTACATTTTTTTCTTTTCACAATTTGTGCTTCGAATTTAGACTCATCAGTCCATAGAACCTTACTCCACATCCCTGGAGTCTTTCAGCACCACACACACAAACACATACACACACACACACACACACACACACACACAAACACACACAAACACACACACTGCAGGAATGTGCCAGTCTCCTTTTCAACTGGGGGATTAATGACTGAGTAAGAGATGGAATGCAAACTTGAATCCCTGACTAACTGACAGACAGACTGAATGAACGAATAAACAAATGAAACTGTGAATGGACAAATCGAATAGATGGACAGATGGACGGATAGATGGATGGATGAATAGATGGATAGATGCAAAAATGAAGGCAGACTGATTGCCTGAAAAAATGGGGGATGGATGTACAGATGTAGGTATGTACAGGCATATGCAAAAGTTTGAACACCCCTGATCAAATTACAAGTTTGTTGACAAAAAGTATACATAAGTGCATGCACATACTTTTGCAAACAACTGTAGGTATGTATGGATGAAAGGATGGATGCATGAAGGAATGAAAAAATGAATGACTGAGTTAAAGGGTTATTCCTGATTAGTGCTGTTTAATGTTATTTGTCATCTTATGTTGCTTGGTGTAGTACAATATCACACTCCTCAGAATTCATAGTTTCATGTTTTTTTTTTTCCATCACTACAATACCCAGCATGCATTAAGCACAAACATCATACAACCACTGGAAACCGCCCCCTGTGGCAATAAAGAAATCCTGACAGGTAGCATAGTCATTGATGTAGAAGCTGATAAATACAGATGTGATACTTGGCTTGTAGTAAGGTTAGCAATCTAGTTTCTTTCTGCATTAGCCAGCTAGTGAGAAAAAAAAAAACACAGCTGCCCCCATGTATCCCCAAATGCTTGTAGTTTTTCAAAAGCTCCTCCCACCTTCAAGTTACATCACCAAAAGGGGTGTTTTTAACCAGGAAATCTTGCTGTAGAGACTATTACTGCACCACTGTATGAATCAAGTAGGCATGTTTACAACAGATGTACCAGTGGTTGCATTTTTCATTTCAGCCAGAGTGTCTCTTTGAAGGATGAATAGATGGATGGATCTAAATGTTCAGAGGAAACTTTAGAGAGCAGTGTCAGCCTGTTCTTCAGTTCATTCAGAGCTGACAGATTTGGCACCAGTTGTGATCTCCACACACACACACACACACACACACACACACACACACACACACACACACACACACACAAACACACACGTACTCACACACACTGTCCTCAACGACCTCCTTCACTGGTCTTCTACGTGCTTTGCCTTCTGTCTCCTATTTCTTGTTTTTCTGTCTGTCCTCCATTCATCCTTCAAAAACATGAACAGAGCTGCTCGTTTACCCATCCACTCATCCACTCGTCAGCACAATGATGGAATTTGAGACAGAAATTGTACAGTACCGTGCAAAAGTCAGACCACCCTTCATTTATTTACTTTCCACTCCAACTGGCCATTAAGTTCAAGCTATTCATCTTTCAGGAGATGTTTCTGAGGAGATTAGATATTAGATAATCCACTTGCATGTAGAAGGGAAACATCAAAGGAAAACAATTGAAAAAAAAAACAGAGTTTCCAAAACTGGAGTTCAAAAACTGATTAAAAGATATAAAGAATATGAGACTCCTAACAACCATGTGAGATCTGGAAGACCACCAAAACTGTCACTATCATCTAAAGAGTACTTAAAGCTTTCATCTTTAAGAGAGAGGAGAAAAGCAAGCTCCACTCATATCTGAAACATCCACAGATGTTTTTGTCCATCCTTCCACTGTGAGAAGACAACTCAACACTATGAGTCTTTACTGAGAAAAGAGAATAGACAAGAGTATAACATACACGAATCAAGCAAATGACCTGCTGGTGTTCTCAGAACAATTGACTGGCCACCCCAGAGTCCAGACCTCGACATCGTTGAACATGTTTGACTTTCTTGGATTCTGAGAAAATGCAACCAACTTCTAAAACTGGACTTTGGAGGTGTGGAAAAAAATCCCTTCTTTGAAAAGCTGAATGACAGTTAAATGACATAATATTTAGTTGTTGAGGCTTCTGTGTAATTATCTGTTAAATATACTGTAGCGTTCAGCGCGATTAAAAGAGACACAGCTTTCGCACAAGTTAAAGCTGTCAAGCTGTTGCTGGCCACAGCCATGCTGTACACAAGCAGAGTTTTCGCTCAGCTCACGTCTGATACTCTCAGCTCTTTTTCCCGCTCCTTACACATATCCCTCCAGGCGGACCTAGCCCTGGGCTTCATAATAAGAGTTCTTAGCAGAATAATCCCATGAATGAATGCTGAAACCTAACTAAAACCAACACCCCAAAGCATTTCTTGAACATGCTACAATATGTTTGCTTTTTTCCTGATGATGAAAAAATGAATAATATAATGGCCATTAATAGCTATTTTGGATGGAAATTAAATAAATGAAAGGTAGTCTCTGACTTTTGCACAGTACTGTACCTTTTCAGTAGTTTCACTGTTTGCTCAGGAGCAGTGCCAAAAAGGCCCTGGTGGAATCTTGCTGGAGAGATTAATCTCTCTGTCACATTTCTGAAAGTTTTCTAGGAAAATCCAGAACTTGTTATGCAGCTGGTATGAACTTTCTGGATCATGTGATCACGGCGACCCTGTGTGAGTTTTCATCCTGTGACTGACAGAATGTGCGTGTTTGAGTGTCTGAGTGCACTCGTGTTCCTGTGTGCTTCTGGCAAATATAGATAACATTCTTCATTGTGCATCCATTTATCACACAGCAGATGAAAACAAGCAGTCCTGTGATTTATTAACCGTGCGGTACAGAAGAAGCAAATGTATGTGAGTTGAAAACAGGAGGCCACACTGCTGTAGACAGTTTAAGTGGCGCGTGTGTGTGAGAGAGAGTGTTTCAGCGGGAGCATGAAAGGGCAGGACCGCTGAGGAGTCCTGATGGTCAACATCTTTGTTTGCACAGCAGCAGAGAAAGAACTTTAAGCACTTCATATTCATCTTAAGTAGGTCAGCCACTCTCTCTCTCTCTCTCTCTCTCTCTCTCTCTTTCTCAGTGTGTGTCTCTCTTCCATTCTAGTGTTTCTTAATTGCACAGTTCTGATTATTTTTTTCTGGCAGACCTCATTCAAATCATGCAAACGCGTCGAGTCATTTAGAGGGGTATTCCACCCATTTTTCAAAATTTCTGCATAATTCAATCATAGAGATGTGAACAAACTTATTCAGAGTGGTTTGGTGTGAAATTGTTCATGGTAGAGAAACTTACTCAAAACAAATATAGCCATTTTATGACCATTAAACCTATTCAGGCCTTCTTAGTCTTCGTCCACAAGTATGTGTATATTTTTAAGTGTTTTTGTCTCCAATTAAAAAAAAAATCTTCAAAAAAATAAATACAGCAGCATTTTCAAAAATAAACAAAAACAACCAGCCCATTAAAGGGCAATAATACCTCATAGAATTTGATGTTAAATGCCTCAATAAGCCGCAATAACAACATAGTGACCATGCATACTGCACAAAACGTAGAGCACATTTTTCTAACTTTATGACATGTTACAAACACGGTGACCTTTAGATTTGAAATCCAGTTTCTGCCAGAAAATAAAAGCTTTAAAGTGAAAGGAAGTTTACCACTTGCTGTTGTAGGATTTTTTTTACCTCACCAA